GTGCAGGCTATAGCGGATTGGGCACTAGGAAACGGTATCTCCCTGAACCTCACCAAGACCAAGGTCATGATACTAGGCAGCGAACAGTACGTTAGGGCTATTAACTTGAATGACATCGTGAAGATCACCATCAACGAGGTTCCACTCGACTATGTTACCAGTGCTCAAAATCTGGGCGTGACACTTATTCCTACATTAAACTGGTCCGAACATGTGAGAGGCGTGACGAGGAGGGCATACAGCTGTCTGGCTTCACTTCGTTTCCACAGGAAATCTCTCTCGACTACCCTCAGAATAGTTCTTGTCGAGCAACTCGTTTTCCCACATTTTGATTACCTCTCAGTGGTTTGTATTCAGCTTGATGGAGAGCGCTCGTCTAAGCTTCAAGTTGCGCAAAACGCCTGCGTACGCTTCGTAATAGGATGGATCCCTTTTATACCTTCTCTATCCATAAACAGCCACATCACGCACCATAGACTAGCCCTGGGCTGGCTATCCCTCACCCCAAATAGGTATAGAGCCCTTGCCGTTCTGGCCTACTCCGTTGTGTCCAGAAAATCGTCGCATTACCTGGCTAAAAACCTGTCTGTCCTGCTCGATGGTGTCATTATCCGGCGCTCGGGTCGCCACCCGCCGTCGGCGTTCGAATACAAGGCCCCTCGAACTGAGGCATGGAACCATTCCTTTGCTATACTTGCTCAGAGAATACTAAACTCACTGAGCGTGGCCCTGTTCTCCACCGATCGGATCCCTAACTTCAGGGATTGGACCCGTGATCTATTCTTGAACTACGAGGCTAGAGCATGGATTGAGAGGGCGTCTCGTGAGAAGTTAATGCCGGTACCGACACTGTCCGATTATACTCGCATACCAAACAGGGTCAATCCAGCCGCGTTCTCCCAAAATTATCCATCGTCCCACACTTACCCCTCTATCGACCTATGGTTCATGAAATAGCCAATTGAATGGTTATTTTCTAGCCGAACGCACGTCGATCCGTCTTTATACCTTTCCTCTTTTCAGGCCTTCCTTCTGTAAAACAGGTGCCATTCGCGTCTTTACTAGTCTTGCTATTTTTATTATTTTTTACTACTTTTAGTATTTTGTTGTTGTTACTATTTTTATTGTTTTCTATTACCTTTATTGTCTTTATTATCTTAGTATTATTTTTCATCTTTTATTATTGTTAGCTTTGTCGTTTTATCTGATAACTCATTTATATTTTTCTTTATATATTTTATTTTACTATATTTTCATATTTAATTCTATTTTATTTTTACATATATACTCTTAGTGTTTACTGTTAATGCCATTGGAAACTCGCTGCTCACCGTATATACTACTCACATAGTTTCACGTAATTCATCTCCTTCAAATAGTCAAATGCGTCACTTTTCATCCTTGCATCTCGTCTTTTGTCATGTTTAAATTTTGTAATTATTTTGTTATGTACATTTTCCAAACTGCCAGACGGGGTTCCACCTCATTGGCGCAATAAACGAACTAATCTAATCTAATCTACGCTCTGACTCAGCGTGGACCACAGCGCGCGGAGGAGTGAGGGAGCGCATATGCAGCTATGCTTACTACCTACCCTCTTATCTTAAGTTGACTATGTCTATCACAAATATAGATCACAGCTGGTTTGAGGGTGATTAAGCTTCTCCACTACTTTCTGGAAGAGAGAAAGAGAGAGCAGCTATGTTTTGCTACCAATCCTCTTTATCTTATCCTTATATTATAGAAAAATATTACCTGTTAATATTACAAGCGTTCGGTAGAATTTTCAACGGTTAGTTTCAAGGGAAACTACGAGTTGGTCACAGCACATTGTGAAATTATTTTTTCTGTTTATTTGTGTGAATAAATTTTTGTTAGTGAAAATGGAAAATATAGTTAATGTCTGTCAGCTTCTAGAAACCGTAAGTAAACATTTTAAAAATAAAAAATAATTTATGTATATATATTGTGATAGTAAACATCTTGTTAGCGCTATCGCCTCAACCATGCGGCTGCCTGCGAGGGCAGCACCTACTGGTTGGGGAAAAATTGAAAAAGGGAACCCGGTATGAGATAGGACGGAACGCGTGCGAATATAAATGAACCAGTCGAGGATAAGTTATTGGAGCATCCAGCCACGGTGAAGAGTAGCCGGAATTTTCCTCGAAGTTTTCCCGAGAGATAAGAAGTTAGCCAGCCGAGTAACCCGAACCTTGCGTGAAAGTGTCACGACCGAGATCGAGATATCCGTTTTCGTCGCTGTTGTAGCGAGTGTGTGTGAGTGAATGTGGGTGCAGAGTTTCGCCATCGAGGGCGAAACCATGTGTGAATCGCTTCCTTCAAAAGGACTGATAAACGAACTTGTCTCCTTCCCCCTCTAGTAGTGCGACCGATACAAAGGTAAGCTGGCCAGCTATACGAGGTGTGATCAAAAAGTAAGGTGAATTTTTATTTTTCTCAAAAAATATTTATTTATTCATCAATTTTTATTTTATCTCCTTCAAAGTAATCCCCCTCGGATATAATGCACTTGTGCCAACGCTTTTTCCAATCCTCAAAGCATTTCAAAAAATCATTTTTTGTGATCTTGTTTAGTTCATCCTCGATGCCGTCTTTATCTCCTCAATCGTGGCAAAACGCCGTCCTTTCATGGGCCTCTTCAGTTTTGGGAACAAGAAGAAGTCACATGGGGCCAGATCTGGGGAATACGGTGCCTGTGGCATCGTTACTGTGTTGGTTTTAGCCAAAAATTCGCGCACAAGCAACGATGTGTGAGCAGGGGCGTTATCATGGTGCAAAAGCCAATTTTTATTTTTCCACAAATTCGGACGTTTCTGGCGGATTGCTTCCCGCAAATTGCGCATAACAGGTAATATTCCTTATTTACTGTTCTACCCTGTGGCAAGAACTCATGATGCACCACGCCCTTGCAGTCAAAGAAAACTGTAAGCAAAACCTTTACATTTGATCGAACTTGGCGTGCTTTTTTTGGTCTTGGTGATCCAGAATGCCTCCACTGGGACGATTGAGTCTTAGTCTCGACGTCATAACCGTATACCCATGTTTCGTCACCTGTTATAACCCTGTTGAGTAAATCGGGATCATCGTTGACGTCATTCAGTAGCTCTTGGGCGATGCTTATGCGACGTTTCTTTTGGTCGAAATTGAGCAATTTCGGAACAAACTTCGCTGACACAGGTCTCATGTCTAAAACACTCGTCAAAATTCATTGGCACGAACCAAATGAGATGCCAATATCATCAGCAATTTCTCTAATGGTAATTCGACGATTTCCCAACACTATTTTCTTCACTTCTTCAACATTCTCATCAGTTGTTGATGTGCTGGGGCGTCCAGAACGAGGTTCGTCGTCGGTGTCTTCTCGGCCTTCTTGGAAGAATTTATACCACTTGTAAACATTTTTTTGGCTTAAAGTAGACTCACCGTATGCCACTTTCAGCATTTCAAGTGTTTTGGAACATTTGATTCCATTTTTCACCCAAAATTTAATGCAAACTCTTTGATCCATGTTTTTAGACAGCAGCAAATCGTGGAGCACGCAAAACACTTCTAATCTTGATGCCTCTCACAAACAAACCAAACATACTACAAAGCTGAAATTTGGAACGTATGTTCTAGACGAGTGTACCAACATAACCAAATAAAAAAGTCGAAGATCGAACAGACGTAGCCCGCTAAATTTCAAAATTCACCTTACTTTTTGATCACACCTCGTATATCGCGACTTTTTACATATGACTGCGTGGAACTAATTACTAATCCCTCGTACTCGGTAAGAATCGGTAGCGTACATGTGCAAACTCTGCGAACAAAGAGCTGCGATCGCTCCGGTGCGGCATGTTATTGATGCGCGCGCGCTTCGTAAATATAAACACGCGGGCCAAGTATACTGTAGAGAATACGTAAATAAACTAACTCGCATGTGATACAGATCTTAATTTCGCCGTTATTATTTCTAACAAGTAGCAAGTTGCTTGACTGACTCCCGTCTCCATTCACACCCCGTTACAATATATATATTTTATATATGTATATATATGATATATAAGTACTATATATACATATATATTATAGTGACTACTGAAAGACAAAATCGGGATCTTCACTATTACTTAGTACGCTTTGTTCCCCTCTCATTTTACTTCACGCTTTCTCTCTCTGATTCACTCGTTTTTAATTGCTGCTTTAGTCCTACGTAGTCGCGATGACTGCAGCATACTGTCGCAGCATGCTATAGCAGCGCGTTCGGTCTTTCCTACTCGTTCTTGCTAAGGCGCGCACACATGTGCTGTTGACCATAGCATCTTACCTTTATGTGCCTGGCCTTGGCGTGACGCAAGTGAAGCTCTCGCAGGTGAACTCTACATTGATATATACAAACATAGAAAATAGTCACATAATAGTGCAAATTATTAGTTACTTAAATATTATTAAATTTTACATTTTTAAACTGAATGAAATAAAATCATGTTCCCAGGCAATATTATTTCTTTCTACGCGTAATCCATAAACTATTTCATTGTCATAATCAGTCTTGTAGAATACGTGATATTTATTACAGACGTCATAGCACCAAGTAAATTTCAAACAACTAATACTACCCTGAATCTAGTCAATCCTCATATGAATGAAAAGAAAAAAAGTCGAGATCTGATTATGATATTGTTTCATTAGATCACAAAAATAAAAGTCTGTAATTGAGTTACAGAACATCCTAACTGGAAACTGCCTACATTTCAAAATAATAATGGTGCAAAATTTTATTGTAAAAACAAACTGATCAACTGGAGAAAACACATTTAAAAAGGTGGAACTAAGACTGAGAAGTATTTTATGATTACAAATTGGACACTTGACAGATTTAATGAAGCCCTAACAAATAATTCTCATGTGACAACCAGGAATTTGCAAAAATGGGCTATGCAAGCTGCCATAAAGTTTATATCAGAAGAATTCATATTTATTGCTTCTGTCTCATGGGTAAAAAAATTTAAGACATTTTCGCATTGGCCAAAGAGAAGTTACTAGATATCTGAAGTCAACAGAAAAGAAAGTAATCGCTACATTCAAAGTGATGCACTAAATTTTCAACAAGAATGTTCACATTTGATAACAAAATTTGATTTAGACTATGTATTGAACAATGATCAGACTGGCTGTGAATATTGTACAAATGTTAATCGTACTCTTACTATTCGGGGCCAAAAATGACTTGAGGTACATATTGGAGATGTAACCAAGGTTATACATTTATATACAGCGCAGTACATCTTGACAGTATCAGGAAAATCAGTTTCTCAAGTTTTTATATGCTGGTAAGAACCTAGTGGAAAGTTTGGTCTAGTTTTTAGAAAACCGTTGACTCATTAACTCAGCAATATGGAAATACTTTTGTTACATGCTTAAAATCTTGCATATTGTCATCAATTTTATCGAAGAAGTACGTTGACAATGTTTTGAACCCATATGTAGGTCATAATAAGTTTATGATACTATTAGATAGTTGATCTGAACACAAAAATCATAATCCATTTGATCAATTTATAAACGTTAATTTAGAAAACATTTGCACTCTCAAAATTATTCCACCTGGTTACACTCTACTGGTTCAGCCATGTGACGTATATTTTTATCGCCAACTAAAATATTTCATCAAATCCCTGGAAAATTCTATTTAGGTAGTCAATAATCAAATTTGTATCAGCTCCAGAAGTGATTGTATCAAGAAGCATTCTTTGATATCTAATCAGTTAAGCGCTGCAAAAACATGCTGTAATATGCTTGGTTTGCTTCTGGATTAATTGCAGATAGAGAGGTATTTAAAAATGTCAAACAAATATATTTTCCTCCTGAAACAAAAAAAGAAAAATGTAGATATGGAGCACTGGCATTTGCCAGGTGTTCTTGGTGTAAAAATATAATTGTTTCAAATGCTACTATATAGATTACCATCCTTCAATTTACCAAAAAAAAAATAAATTTTATGCAGAGCATTAATCCTCACCCTACTTCCCTTTCACAAATACTGTTCTAGATTATATTCTATTGAAGTGTATGTATATTTAAACTGCAACAGAAATACAACATAAAGTTCAAATGTTGTAAAAAAATATATTTGTACAAAAAGTATTTTTAAAATAAACATATCTTACATTTCACTACATCGAAAATATACGATATGACATGAACAAACTAATTTTATTTATGACAAATACTTTTTTTGTGTGATAAATCAGCAAGCAGTAGACTTAATGACTACTTTTTATAAAGCTAAAAGTAATCTAGACAATAGATATTCGATATAGCAGAAGTAAGACTTATCTGAAGTGTGCTATTGACTTCGAGTATAAAGGTAAAGGTATAATCGTTCGAGATTAGTACAAAATTTTTGATAACATAAGTGTTGAAATAAGACCTCATATACGTCCATGCGTTTTGCATCTCTAGCACTTTTTTTATAGGTCTTATGTTAAAATCAACAGCACGGTTAAATTCTACACAAAAAAATACAAAGAATACGTGAGTTCCATTGAAATTCAAGGACATTCTAGCGTTATTTTGAAATATAATATACGTGTTTTCGATGTATGTTTTCACGCAGAATACGGTGATGCTATTAAGTTTATATGATGTAGCCGAAAAATGTTGGAAGTGAAAATCTACGTAAAAATCCTTATTTTTGCATTTTTCAGTGGTTTTTTACTTTTGCCACTTTTTTGGTGCACCCGATGATAAAATTAATAGCACCATCGTATTTTACGTCATAAAAATACATATAAATCATGTATAAAATATGCGAATATGATCCATGGAACTGCTCTGAAAACTTCCTCAATTCGTGAAGTTCTTGAATCAACCGTTTAAAATTGAAAATCATTATTTTTTGTCTCAGTTCAGTAGGCCTATGAGAGAAAACGGCAAAACACGAGTACTTTTTTTTAGATAAAATACGTTCAATTTTTTCCGATTTATTTGGCGTATCCTAGCTCGTGACCTCTCCTTGTTTTAAGGCTGAATATACACTGGATCTAATCTGCTACAATAATGCTGTATTGGTGGTTTATTTACTTGATTCGTTGTTTTTTTCTGATGGTCACCATGCTCCTTATTTATTGTATACTAGACTTGAATCAGAGGAATACACGGATGCTGCTACCTTCTATCAAATTCCGGCTAGCCAATAATGAGGCCATCATTTGTATGCACTTAATGCGGTGGACTGGGCTGTACTCTTGGATGAACATGCTCAGTTAGGTATCAATGTTGATTTGTTTTATGGCAAGTTATTTGAGGTGTTTGGCTGTCATACCCCGAGAATGAAGAAAACAATATCTACGTATCCAGCCTGGATGTCGCATGATTTGAGAGATATAATATGTAGGAAGACTGCACATGCTTTTTATATTTATTATTTATTATTTTATTTTTTATATTTATTATTTTATTCGTACTCTCTTGATCTGTCGCGTTAATGAGTAAAAATTCGTTTAACTTTGAAAAATATATATGAATATTGAATTTGAAGTAAAATTATAAATGAAATATCTATAATTGTTAGGATTGAATTTAAGAAAAGATAGATTTTACCCTAGTTTCTTATGGTGAGAAGTATCCCATAAGCATAGCTTAAGTCTGTCTTGAAAAAAGGATGTAATTCAGCCCAAGTTTCTTATAGCGCGAAATCTTCTATAAGTCGAGCGTAAATCATAGTAGAAAACGAAAGAATTGATTTGTTAATAGAGAAAAATAACTTAGGTATAAGCCCAGCTTATTCAATCTCGATAGCTCACTTTGCAAAGCTAGGAGAGAAAACCAGCCTGTATAAAATTCAGCGTATTTATACACAAATTTTCCCGCCTATTTTTAATAAAAAAATAAGAATTCAACAATAAATAATGAGAACATTTTACATATAAAAATAGTTTATCACTTGTAGAAGTAATTTAAAAAAAGAAAAAACTTAAATTAGTTAATTACATTTAAATATTAAACAGTTTTCGTATTTTTGCAAAATCATATAATGTAAATATTAAATCGGTTAGCTAAGATTAATAAAATATAACAATGTTGTCATTATGTACAGAAATAACGCTTTCGATTCATATACTATTATTTCTTTAAATAAATTATTAATTGTTTATTTATTAATAACAGTAATAATCAAGCTGTTATCAATGAAACGAATTCTCACTCATGTTTCTCAGACAGTCATTTTGAGTTCAGAGTATCCGTTTTATTATAATAATCTGAGTCATGTCTCCGTGATTGATCGTGTCTGTTTGGTTGTGAATAGACTACCAAATCTACTGGAGATACGGTCCTGCTCAGTGCGTCCATTCAAGAACGCTATATAGCCCAGGAAAAATAGGATTTGAGGCGGTTTTTCATTTCGGCAAGACGATTATTTTTTGACAGGTAGTGTGAACGGCGTACATTAAGATAACAACTATCCATAGTTTGAGAAAGTTTCGAAACATTGTTAAAATGTCCATAAACTAATAAATTTTATGACTTTTTTCGTTCTTTTCTTTATAACTTTGTTCCGTTAACATTTACAACAAAATAGTTGAATACTTTTTGTTCGTGAATAAATTACCTACAAAACCATAGGCTGTACGTCAAAAAATATCCATCAGGTAAAAAGTTATTAACTATTAACTTTTGTATTTTGAAAATATTATAAACAATTTTTTTTAGCGTTGTTATAAACATTGTGCCACCGCTTCTCGTTGAATGGTGTCTTTTTGTTACGAGATGATGTGTACGGAATCGCGAATCTGTAAGTTTAATAGTTTACGAGTTATCGTCTTATAAACAAATTACATACTCGTTTATTTTTCGAAGCCCAATTGTTATCCACTAATGAAAAAAAAATTTACTGTATGTCTTTCAATGCCCTCTATCGATTTCCAAAATGATTTATCAAAAAAAATCAAAATTGCGACCGTGGGAGCAAAAAAACAAAAGCGACCTTAATTGCAAAATAGATTAATAACATTTTCAGTAACTTTTTTGTAATAATTATTTCGGGTTTGGATAGCAATTCAAATAAACTTCAATTTAAAACAACGATGGCACAGATCCGTTGATAAACAAAAAAGTTACAGGCCGGCAAAGTTTTTGGCTTATTGTTCAACAATTTATGCCACTAGTGGAAAAAAAATATCGTCATTGGCGGAATACCTCTAGTTTTTAGGGATGAAAATTTCAAGTCTATGGGAAAAAGGTAAACGGCTTAAAAAAATTTGGGAATATCAGCCCTCGGCAATAATTTTCACAATCTATCGCGCGGCGGCGGAGTGGGGGAAGCCAACGAATACTCGACAGAAAAATTGAGTCTGACCCTCAAAATCAGCAGCGCAATTAAAATCGCTATTTTCTCGTTAACTATTCAACATATTTTCATCATTTTTTTTTAATTTGATACCCCGCGACGAGAGAAATCTATTCCCGCTATATAAAATGAGCAAAAGTTATAAACAATGGCATAAAATTTATTTATAAAAAAATGTCATTTTTTTTTCTTCATTATTATTAACAGGAATGAACTATTATTATATAGGTAAGTAAAATCAAGCATTTTAACATTTTATTTTCAGCATTTAATTGAAAGAACAAATAAGCGAATAATCGCATATCCTTTACAATTACCACAAAAATCGGAACATTTCATTCCATTTTTTTTGCACCCACAATTATTTGTACACCCCTTTTTACAATTACATCTAATACTACGTAAAATTTCATCTGGTACCAAGTTCCCGTCCACAAAAACTGTTTTGTAAAAATTATTCACGTACTTCCAGCCCCAATTACTCAGCTTTAAACTGGTGTAACTTTCTTCCAGATTACTGCTATTACCTAACCCCAACCACAATTGAATTTGATAATACACTCGGTAGGAGTGACAAACAGCAGCCGATTCGCTAGGGGGAAGCCATTTCAAATCGAAGTTTTTTTTTGTTTTTACTCCTACCTCGAAACAGTGATGCCGAAATACATTTAAACTCATTTTTTGATTGGGTTTGGCACCGTACAAAGCCATAATGGCTAAATTACCGGTTTCCACGATTTTAGCTTTATCTATATTAGGATCATTAAATACCGCTAGTTTTGTAATTAAAGATTCATCTTTTAATACTATTTTGAGTAATTTACTTTTACCTTGGTAATAAAAAGCACTCGTTGTATCGCAGCCAGTAAAAGCGTATAAAAATAAAATTACGGGTTTTAATTGTTTATATATAAAACTATGACCGCCATAAAAGCAACCCGAAAGAGAAAGTGGCTTCTATCATACTAACGTTTCCAAATATATAAGAATTTGGAATATTCAAAGTTAAGAACATTAAATTTATCATAAACGCGATGTAGTTAATTATTTAGACAATACACATTTAACATTAGACAAAAAAATTATAATGAATCATATATATTTTTTTCAAGTTCAAAAGTAAGCTTAATTATTTATTTATATGTAAGTTAACATGTTAAACTACTTGATTCTACTTACCTATATAATAATAATTCATTCCTGTTAATAATAATGAAGAAAAAAAAATGACATTTTTTTATAAATAAATTTTATGCCATTGTTTATAACTTTTGCTCATTTTATATAGCGGGAATAGATTTCTCTCGTCGCGGGGTATCAAATTAAAAAAAAATGATGAAAATATGTTGAATAGTTAACGAGAAAATAGCGATTTTAATTGCGCTGCTGATTTTGAGGGTCAGACTCAATTTTTCTGTCGAGTATTCGTTGGCTTCCCCCACTCCGCCGCCGCGCGATAGATTGTGAAAATTATTGCCGAGGGCTGATATTCCCAAATTTTTTTAAGCCGTTTAC